TATTAACATTAAAGTCATAGAGTGACATTATTTGTATTTACCATAAACATGTTGTGATTTCGCTATTTAATTGTTGATCCCTAACATAATGAATCGGATTGTAAACACGTGCCAACTGACAAGCTCAGGATTCGACAATTTCTTTCTTAATTATATTGTTGAAAAAAAAAAAATTCTCGGATTTTTCCAGTACAATAAAAATTTTTTAATAGATTGATAAGATTTATATTTCACAAATTAGACAAAAACAATGCATTATTTAACAAATAAAATAATAATATTATGTAAGGCGGAACTCAACATTCCGTGCTCTACTACTACTACATTCAAAAAAAAAAGTGCTAGTGTAACTATTGTTATATAGTAAGAAACAATAAGAAGTTGAAAGCATAGCTAAATTGATTTGCTTGGCTCAATATCTTACTCTCCCACCGTTTCTGTTTCTCACCGTCTTTGATCTCTCTCATTTCTGTGTTCCTTTGTACACGAACAAATATTTACTAAATAAAAAAAATTAATATACAAATTAAAATTTTTTGATTGATTGTAATAAACGTTGTTGCAAAAAATTAATAATTAATTAAAAAAAAAACGAACGAAATTAATAATAACTGATAAAAAAATAAAAATAAATGATTTTTTTTTTTTTTGGTTTTTTTCATATAATATATATTTATTTATTAATGCTCTTAGAAAAAATAATAAAATTTTTTTTTTGGTTTTAGCTTAGTTTATATATTTTTTTTTTTTGATAATTAATTTTACGGCAAAAAAAAAAAAAATTTGTCTTAATAAAATTGTTTTATGGAGTCTCCATCGATTTATTGCGATTCTGTTGTTGTTTATTTTGTTGTTGTTGTTGATGGTGGTGGTGGTGGTGATGAACTTTTGGATCGGTATTTTGTCTTAAGTCACTGAATCCAGAATCTTGACGCAAAGCTTGACTTTCATTATTAGAAGGAAAATGCGAAGGTAGTGGGCTACAATGACGGTGATCCTCTATACTTTGAAATGGTTCTGAATGTAATGGTTTTCTTGTTATTAATTGTGATGACGACGATGATGGAGCAGCAGATGATAAATCTATTGTTTTCTTCCTCACTGAGGTGGAAGAAGATGAAGGTTCGATGGATGAATTTGAAATGTCTTTAGCATCGTTATTGCTACTTGACGAAGGTAACATTATACTTGTAGTTTTTAAAACCAAGTCCTGAATCTCTTCAAGACTAGAAGTTGTCAGATCTATTCCTCCAAACTTCCATTTTCGTGGTTGATTATCTCGCTTTTTTTTTTTTACAAAAATTTAATTAGTTAATTTTACTCGAATACAATATCATTCGATATATTCGATATATTCTCGATAATAATTATTAATTTTTATTATACCTGTGAATAATTATTCGCCATATTTTGAGCTGTTTTTGCAATAGCATCAACCAATTCCTGAATTTTGCATACCTTGTCTTTCAACATTTCAACATTACTAGAAGATTCTTTACACTTTAAACATTGTCTTTTTGTGAAATTTTGTCTGCAGTTGTTACTGGATTTTGATACTTTGACATGTTGTGTCCTCCTGTAAGTTTTTTTAATCGTATTGTTATTGGGAATTGTTATCGGTGCAGAAGCAGAGTTTGATGAATCAACGTCACGATTATTGTTATGTGATAATGAGTTCGTCATTTTTGTGATGATGTGATGGTACGATAACGACGAAGACGATTATGAAGGGGTGATGTGTTTGTTTATTAAAGAATGGAAATGTTTATAAAAAAATGAAGATTATTATTATTATGTGTATATGTAAGTTAAAAAATTTTTTTTAGAGTTTACTAAAAAAAAATTTTTTATTTATAATATTTAGAAACTTGTTCTTTTGATAAATATTTTTATTATCTATTTATTCTTTAAAGGAAAAAATCTGGACTTTAAAAAATTATTATTTATTTAACTTTTTTAAAAAAGATTAATAAAAAAATTTTAAAAAATTTTCAACAGTGGAAAAAATCATCGATATTTATATAATTATCATTTAAAATTTATCATTCATTATTAATCAACAATTTTTATGTATGGTTCGGAATGTTTGGTCCGAAAATAATTATAATAATACTTATTATTATCTTTTTAATAATAACAATAACAATAACAATAAATAACAATAACAAATTCTATCTCCCTCTTATGCAATGCGAGCGCTTTCATTTTCAATCTCTCATCCCTCGTCCTAAGGAAAAAGTGGAAAGGGGAGGTAGAGGAGCGGAAAACATTTTTTTCCGATAGTAAAATGTTCCGACTATTATAGCAAAATTACTATATATTACTATTGAGAAGAAGATCGCACTATTTTTGCTTTCATTTATATGCAGATCTTATTGTGACATCACCCAATTTTGATTCATGATTTTAAAAAAAAAAAAAACATCAAAAAAAATTTTTTGATTGATGATAAAAAAAAAAGGCAATAAAATTCGGAATTAATATTAAGAATAAATATGGAGTTAATGTTTTATTACAATAAGTTACTCCGACTTGTAATGAAACTATCCGCGATCGCCCAGTCTAATTTCTAAATATACCACAACCAATGCAAATTATTTTTACGGAAAACAAACTCCGAATTAAACTTTTATCCCATTACTAATACTATCTACTATTTACTATTATTATCAAGACAAAAAATTTGCATGATGATCTAATTGAGGCTTCGTTCCTCTAAAAATAAAGTCACGAAAATTCAAAATTCATAGATGCGAGATTTAGTCAAATAAGGCTACAAATAAGTCTTCTCGTTTTTGTCGATCTAAATTTCAATAATTTAATAGTAAAGTAAAAGTTATTATTATTATATAATATTTATTTGCTTATTATATTTATTTATCATTACTTCGTTCGGCAAATTTTTTTTTGGACGTGAAATAAGCAGCAACTATAATAAATCAAAATCAACATTAGGGTCTCAATCAATATGATGAGTCAATTGATCAAAAGAAAAAGAAGACTTACAAATTCTCTTGTCGTATGACGATTTTACCGGATGTGAGTTCGCTAAAATCACGAAATAATCAATCAATTAACCATTACAATTTACAATTTATAAAAATAAAAATAAAAATAAAATAAAAAATGCTTACGATGATTTTTACGGCGAATATTCGAACCTTTTCCAACTTTTTTTTCTGATAATTAAGATTAAAAACATAATAATTAGTAATTAATAAGATTTATAAATCTACCAGTTATTTTAAATAATTACTGAGTTGTGCATTTATACGGGGAAGGATTATAAGGATTGTGAAAATAGTTGCCAATAATAATGATATTCGATTTAATCTCATTTTAATAGTTATTCAATATACTTGAGAGAAGCATTTAACTTTCGTTTATATATCTTCTTTTCTTTCTCATTCTGATCGTTTAATTATCTGTTTTCGTATTAGTTGCTATTCATTCAGAAGCGTTCAATTAAAAATGGTTACACGATCATATTAAAATATACCAAATGGTTTCTTTGAGCTAATAACCAAAGATTTCATTTTTTTTTCCTTCCGTTTTTTAACACATTTTGGTAAAAATGCCAATATGGTGGTGTCCATTGTTTGCACCCTCTCGCTCATTTTGGTGAGATAACATCCATCATAATATAAATGGAGTAAATGCAAGTTTGGAAGTTTCCAAACGTTTCACAATGTTAAACTTTATTAATTAATATTAACAATGGAATGAGACAACGTCTATCTAACTTGTAAATATATATAAACTGTATGAATCATGTGATAATAATTATTAAATTAAATATATAGGCATGCAATTTAAAAATCATGATCTTTGACGGGATGGATGGATGATTTAAAAACGTCGAGGGATTTATATAAAGCTATTTGGATAAATGGTGATAATAAGATTGCGGCATTGAAAAATACATAATTACAAAAATGGTTTCTGATTATTTCATTTTGTTATTTATTTTTTCGTTGTGTATAATATATATGTGTGTGTGTAATAAAAACATAATTAAAATATAAAACGAACGGAAAGCAAATTTTTTGTCTATTATCAAATTATTGGTTAAATACAATCATCCCAGTTTGTTAATTATGTATATATTCGGAATACTGCCAAAATGTCATATACCATAGATAACCCTATTACTATACAATGGCATTAGATATATATTTGATGTCTGATAGAAATTTAGCACAAGTATTACGTCGAATTAGCATGCAAATGCCCCAAATCGTCTATCTTATGATTATTGGTTTTCGATATATACTGTATATAGGACATTTAATCGTGATTATTATTATGATTATGGAATTGTAAAGCATCAATGTCCTAAAAAACAAATCAATGAAAGAAATTTCGATAGAGTACATAAAATTGAATTTTGTCCTTCCCAATATTTACTGCAACAATCACCAGATTGTTAAAATTCACAAATCTTCAAACAATTAAATTTAAATTAATTGCCTAATTGAATTTATAAAAAATCTTGTAATTTGTCCAGAAAATTTCAATACTACCTACTTACTATTTACCAGAATGGATTCACTTTGTTTACAATTTGTTTACATAATAATTTATTATTAATGTTTTACAATATTATCTATCTATTTTTTATCACTAATAAAAATTATCAAAATGATATTTCTATAAACACTAACATTTAAATGAAAGACAAGCAAGATCTAAATCCAATCGTTGATCACGTAGTCCACAGCTATTAACTGAATATGGTCTAGGTTAGGTGAAGGTGGCTTTGTAATTATCATTATTATGTTTTGGTTTCTTTGCTTATTATATATATTTAATTTTTTTTTTTTCTGTAGTCCTCCTAATGAAATAAGATCATATATAAAGCTACTTGGATAAATGGTAGGAAATACGACAAAAATCCGATAATTCACAAAATATTTCTTAATGATATGATTTAAATTAGTAAATCTTGTAAAATTATATTTAGCTAAAACAAAAAATTTATTAGCTAACTGTTTAAGAAAATGTATCTCATACAAGCAGATCCATTCTTTGAACTTGGCAATGTATTCTTAGAAAACTCGGCCGAAAAATAGTAATTTGTAATATTTTTGTTTAAATGGTTTTCCAAATTATATATGTATATATATATATCAAGTGTAGCAGACTGAGATTGACAATATTAAGGGTGGGTAAATTATTTTCAAAATAATAATAATTCTTTTTAGGTTCAAGTCAAGTTTCATAATTCAAATTTATGGACTAACACAAGACCTGATTACGTAAAGGTTTACAAACTCTATCATGGGATTCATTGCGGTTTCGAAGCAGTTTTAGGAAACGAGCATCATATGTATCACCAGAAATTTTAACAGATAAACCATATTAGTATACAATGTTGATTCAATCCGTCTGCTATTTGGCACATATGCGATTTCGGTCTTGAAGATATGTGAAAGTGTAAGATCTGACTGAATAACATACCAAAATTTACATTTTGAATCAGCATACAGATGCATGGATGCGACGGGTTCGAACAATCATCACTAAAAATTTAGATTTGATCCAAATACACTAGCTGCTACATGGACATTTCTCTGATGTTTTTATTAAATTAATAATTAAAAAAATAAAACTTTGTCCGGAATTTCTTTGACAAAAAATACTTTTCGCTTTAAAAACACATATAATAATAATCTTATCTGAAATCACAAGTAAACAAGCATAATTTTTAATATAAATCTTTCGAAATTTTTAGTTTTAACTGAAAGTCGACGTGACGAATCATCAGTCTTCTTTTATACTCAACTACGATATATCTAGAATTCTCGTCCCACGCTATATTAAAAAACGCCTTTATGAAAAATATCCTCACAAAAAATCGAATTGGCCGCCTTAAGTTAATAAACAAAGAAAATCAAAAACACAAGAGGATATCTATGATTCAGAAAAAAGGATAGCTTTGCTTTACTAAAAAAGACAACAAATATTCGATGTTCTATCCCAAATTACTGGTTTTAGTTTGGTTCGAACCCGAGTGTTCGGATTGGCCAGTCCATCTGCAGCAAGGTTAAATTCAACTTGTAAATTACAGGTTATTTGTTTTTGTGATCATTACTGCATGAATTTAGCTATATGCACGAGATCTCTTTTTTATTAATAACCCGTAAATTTATTTATACGCAGAAATTTTAAAAAGTTGTGTTCTTTGAATACGAAAAAACTACGTTTTTTATAAGTGAATAATTATTATTATTATAATAATGATTGGTTTTGAACCATTTTATTTATACACACCGTCACAAACATGAAAATATTTATTTATTTTGATGTAAACATCATCCTTTTTTTTCTTTGTGAAAAAAAAAAAAAAAAAAGAAATTTCATTTATGTATTTTTAAAAAACTTGCTGAATAATTTAATCACCAGACCAGATGTATGCACTACATAAAAATGATTAATTTATCAATACAATAATGATAATAAATCCAAAAAAACGATTTCAATGAAGTATAGAAACAAATCACCAACTTAATAATGGTTCCAAAAACAACCAACATGGTAAAAGAACTTTCTTATTCTTGTTTACCGACACCGGATTAATACACAGAGTTTGTGGCTAGAGAAATATTTGTTTACGAAGTCTTTGAGATTCTTTTTGGTAAATTCATTTGTTTATTTTGAAAATTTTTCTTTAAATGAAGATAAAAAACTACAAAGAATTTCTATTGATGTGGAAGGTGACGAATATAGATGACGAATATCCAGGTGAAAAGAATCAAATTAAGCGAGAATCTCAGAATTGCAATAGATTTAATACCGACTTTTTATCTGCCAATTATGTGATACACCGAAGATGAACTAGTGGCAATGAAACAATAGACAAGTTGATCAAAGGTACCCGACTTAAAAGCAACAGATTATCAACTAAAATTATCTTGATGGACTCCTTATGAAAATTTAAAAAAATATTGAATAGATATTAATCATATATGCTTGATTTTTTCTTAATTCATCGAGTACAAATCTAAATTTACCAAATATTTAGCTTACGTGTAACGTGATACCCAGCACTGCATTCTGCGGATATAGTCATGCGGACAACGGCCAATTCCCCCGTAAAATAAAATAACTCTAAATTTGTAATTGATTACACAATGAAGTTTCAAATATTGGTAATTTAGATTGGTCGGCAATTGGGGAAAAAAAAATCAACTTTAAAATGGAAAATTTTTTTTAAAGGTTAAAAAGTGGTTGCAGGTTTTGGATTATCATTAACATATTTGGTACCGACATATATTACACCAAATATGAAACAGTATACAATTGCACCAGATATATATATATGGCATTGAAATATTGATGAGTCAAGAGATGTTAAACACAAGATTTGAATTCTCAAACAATTCACCAAATTTTATGTTGAATTAACGTAGATGTTAATTCGGATAAACATCCATTTGATGATGAAATCCAAGAAATTATTGAATTTTGATAATGAATTGATGGAATAAAGATTCTAAAAGAAAAAAAAATTGATCAAATGCTATTTATACCAGCAAGTTATCAAAATTTAAAAATCTTCCTCGATCTGTTAATTCTAACAATAATTAGTAATTATAATGGTAATCATAATCATATTAATATGTATAATAATAAATTGGTTTGGATAAATTGTCAAATTAAGATACTTGGATATATGGGGCATAGTGCAACAAAACCAGACAAAGTGAACATTTGTATTACTAAAGAATTTCAGGGATCAAAATTCAGTCATCACCGTTGTAATGTGATTAACAATTTTATAATGTCCATTTTGTCACCTTCCCTGTTTCTTAAATGATATATAGAATTACTCCTATATAAAAATAATGATACAAAACTCAGATCTACTATGGAACTCAAGTATTTTGAAGAAGGAATAAGAAAAAAAATGCCTTTTATGTTTTTAAAATAAAATAGTTGCACATATTGGCATATTCATTACTATATTTATTTTATTATTTATAGTCATAAATTTTTTAAATTTTTAAAATCGTTAAATTGTTTAGTTACAGTCAATCACCCAACGTAGTAGTTGAAAGATAAAAAAAAACAAATCCAGTACATGTTCATAAAATTGCAATTCCATTCAAGTTGATATTTCTAAAGAAGAGGTTAAACAATTTGTTTTTTAGTATTAGACCTGGCTTTTCTTGTATGTACTGCCACCTGTTTAAGGAAAAAGTAATATAATTTCAGTGATCAGTTGCACGTTTTTTATTTATTGCTTCATTTTTTACAAACTTCCTATTCTCCTTTGCATATTTCAGCGCAGATGCAAAAATAGATTTGGCATTCTGAATTATTTCCTAAAAGTGTAATAATAAATTGACAACACCATTATACGAGACAAAAAAAAGCAATACTTGCTTTTATGAATATAAAGTTACGACATGCATCTCCAATGTTATAGAGGCTAATTTTATAATAATATGGGATGGTGAAGCTTGATATTTCATCTGCAGCCCATATTCCATCTCATAAGTAGAAAATAACATGCATCTTTATAGTAAATTCCACAATACAAATACCCACAATTGGTATTTCTTTTAATGCTTTGTTCAAATTTGCATCTAAAGTTCCTTCAAGCAATGCCTGTGCACATGCTGAATGCTGGTCTCGACTCACTTTCATTACTCTCATGAAAGCCATCCTTGATCTCAAATGGTGAGACTATGCTTCTGGTCCTGAGTTTTCTGCTATTCCAAACTCTCTTCCACGCTCAACTGATGCATCACGAAGTTCATGTGCCTAAAAATGAAAAGAAAATTATTATGTCATGACTAATAAAAAGTAATCCAAAATAACTAACTGCTTTGATAATTACAGCAAAGATAAAGTCTGAGTGTTGGCCAACATTTTTAATCCCAAATCTTCGTTTACGAGCCCCAGATGCAGATGATATTAATTCACCACTGTAAATATATAGATAATTAATAGAAGTCACAATAGAAATATATTTTAAGTAGGTGTGATGTTTTTTAATTTGGTAGATAAAATTAATAATTATATAATACAGTCTAACCCACCTAAATTCGTTTGTAAAAGTTCGTTGAGATGATCAAAATCGACAAAATTTTTTACATATTAGTATGACAAAGAAGTTTTACCGCAAGGAAAAAATTGTTCTTTATTACCAAAAAAAAAAAAAAAAAAAAAAAAAAGATAATATAATAATATAATAATATAAATAAATATATGACAAGGACTAATCACATATTGTACTGCTAATTCAACATTTTTGGTTGAGGTTTATTTCTTTTTAATAAGTAAATTTCTCTTTTTTGTTCAACAGTAACAAAGTTTCGCTTTTTATAGATGACAATGGTTGTGACATTTTTTTTCTTTTTTAATACATAACCATCCAAACAACAAGACTTATATCTTTTAGAATTTTATAAAATATTTAAAATCGCAGAAACAATTATACGTTTTATTGTACAGAAATAATCATGGGAAATAGTCTTATGGAAAATAATCATGTATTAGTATGATTTGTTTGTTGGTTATCTATCACGTGACTTTATTGTAATTATTATTATATTCAAAAAAATTCGTTCTCGTTGCAATACGGTTCTATTAATAAACTCGTTGTGACAAAAATTTGTTCATTGTAACAATGGTTGACTGTATATCCAATCTAATAGTTCTTGCGACTGAATTAATATTACATCATCTTTTTATATATCCAATATTTTACTTCTCATAAAGCCTCAATTATTGTGATAGATTTTTATTTTCATTATAATAATGTTTATTTTAACTCATGGTTAAAACAAATCAATATTAATCTACTTTTATATGATTTAATACTTGGGAAATATACTTATCAGCCATAAATGTCTATCTATGATGCAGTTAATATTGTTAATTTGACTTTATAGATCATCAATTTAAATAACAATTTTTTAATTATGTAGAAACAAATTTCATGTTTGTTATAAGAAAATTTGAGGTCTTTAAGATCTCTAATATTAATCTATATTAAATGTCACGAGATCAATCGTTTTCTTTCTCGTAATATTACCCATAGAAATAGGACGGCAAAAACTGAAGTTCTAGGTGCACTTTAGTAATTTGTGCATCATGGGCAAAAAATCAAGTCAGACGATAAGGTGAGGTTCTATTCTCATATTGTAATGACTTTATAATGGTTGAAGCCAACTAGGCATCTAGTGAGGATCACATCAGATGGACCACAATTAGGTAGCTTAATCCCTGAGTGCTAACATTTTTTAGTTCATTGCTTGCTTAATTAATTATACTTTAGTTATAATTCTATGAAAGGCAACAAAAAATTAACAAACGAAATCTTGCCCGAGTCTCATGAATAAACCTATGGTTTAAATGAGTAAGTTTATGCTCCCTCAAACTGATGATGTTGATTTAAGCAAGCGCATGCACAATCAGTTAATTGTGAATCAAATTTTGAGCCTTTACAAATAAATACTTCTCAAAAAAATCTGATTTAAAGATCTGCATATATTAAGCAAAGCGCTTAGTTCCTCATGGCAAGTTACATAAATTACATACGTCATTATAAAAATTCCTTTCTGCTTCTTATTTTTTGATATTTTTAAATAATTAATCATTCTTCGAAATCATTTGATTCATTTGATTGATTATAAAATTTGTCATTAATTCCGTCAATTATATGGAAATGCACAATTTATCTTGAAATAATGAAGGAGCAAGAGATGGTAGCAATGTCGAGAAATACAAAATATTTCATATTCTCGGCAAATAATTCAATTTTTCACATTAAATTAGTTAATTAAAATCAATGTAACTTTTTATTTTATTTAGAAAGAAAAATTTTTTTTACATAAAATTTATGATCTTTTAATTTATATATTTAGAAAAATCTTTTAAAGAAAGAAAAGATAATTAGAAACTAAAATTTTTATTTATTTAATGCTTGTAGTTGTCATATTTGTAGTCTTTCTTGTCGTCATATTTATGGTCGTCATATTTGTAGTCGTAGTCTTTCTTGTCGTCATATTTATTATAGTCATATTTCTTGTCGTAGTCGTAATCGTAGTCTTTCTTGTCGTCATATTTATGGTCGTCGTATTTCTTGTCGTTGTCGTAATCGTAATCGTAGTCTCCTCTCTTCACTTTATATTTATAGCTTCTCTTATTATAATCTTTCTTATCATCATATTTCTTGTCGTAGTCGTAATCATAGTCTTTCTTGTCGTCATATTTATGGTCGTCATATTTGTAGTCGTAGTCTTTCTTGTCGTCGTATTTCTTGTCGTAGTCGTAATCGTAGTCTTTCTTGTCGTCATATTTATTATAGTCATCATATTTCTTGTCGTTGTCGTAATCGTAATCGTCGTCTCCTCTCTTCACTTCATATTTATAACCTCTCTTATTATAATCTTTTTTATCATCATATTTATCATAGTCGTCATATTTCTTGTCGTGGTCGTAATCATAGTCTTTCTTGTCGTGGTCGTAATCGTAGTCTTTCTTGTCGTCATATTTATTATAGTCATCATATTTCTTGTCGTTGTCGTAATCGTAATCGTAGTCGTCGCTGGCGTATCTTTTAACTTTAGCCGCATAGAGATTAGATGTATTAATAGATTAGATTTTCAATTTTTTCGTAAGATCAATTCAATTAATTATATTTTACCTTCATCGTAACGGCGACGTTCTACAACCTTTCCATTTTCACCAGTTTCGATTGGACTGGAAAGAGAAGAGGAGGCGAGAAGAGCAATAGTAAAAAAGTAGAGAACTGATTTTTTATGCATTTTTAATTGTTTTTTTTTTTTTGAATTTGAAAATGCTAAAATTTATTTATTAGTTTTTAATCCTTTGATTGTTGTGGATTGATTTGAAACCAAAGAGAATTCCACTCATATTTATATTGAAAAAATCTCAAGTTCTCTATCATCGTTTAGTAATAAATTAAGGAGATATAAATTAATCTAAAAATAAAAAAGTTTTAAAGAAATTTAAAGATCAAAATTTAATTATTTTAATAAATTTCAAAATAGGAAAAAAACATTGATTTAAAAAGTTTTGATTATTTTAACGAGCTTTTTGATTTTTTAATTTTTAAAAAAGTCAAGATTTTTAAATCTTAAACATTTGTATTGTGTGAATTAATTAGCATTATTGAGTATTATTATTTATTATCATCACTATAATTCAATGATTTAATTAAATTATAGATTTGGATTTAGATTTTGATTTCCTTCCTTCTTTTACACACTCTTATTTTCGATAATTAATTAATTAATATTCAAATCATTTTTAAAAAATTTGATAAATTGATTTTTCCCCGTAAAAATTGATTTGATACTAAAAAATTTTAATTAAATAGGGATATCACGTGACTAAAAAGTAATAAAAAAATTCAATTAATGTGTACAGGCATGGCTGACTTTTATATTACACGTGACTTTGATTTTTTTTGAAAAATTTTAAATCATTAATATTAATGTCTTTTTTCCCATTATTCCAAGTCTTATGCCATTAAAATAGCAACGAATGCCACTCACGTATACAAAAACAACGTGGAACCAACTTATTTATTATATCCTAGCAGCTAGTTGGAGGGATTGGCCTGGTAGACTTACAGCTTATATAGCAGTCGAACACAAAACGAAAGTCCAAGCACAAATGTTATTATAAATTTCAAATTGAATGTCTTCAACCCCTTGTTTTATACCCTCATTGTATCATATCAGTTGTCGTCAAATTCCGCAAAATGGTTTTTCTTTATATATTCTTTGCCTTGTAAGAAAATTTCAATGATAATAAAAACAAAGGAAATGTCTTGAAGCGAATTTTATACGTTATACTTGTGGGCAAAACTATAGACTTTTGACAAATGATGATGGTTAATGGTGAAATGTTGAAAAGTTTGTACGAAATATTATTTGGCTAGCCGGAAAATCTTTTGTGAACGTTATCACGTGTTTTGATATGAAAGTACGCTGGAACTTTCGACAGATCAATTTTTAGTTTCGCCCACAAGTATATCATACTTTGTCATGATTTAATGTGTCATATATACTTCATCGCATTCAAAATCTAAAACCACGATTTATTTTGCTATAAATTTGAAGTAGCATTGGTATATATTATAGATGGGCGTCTAAATTGTTTTTGGGGTTGTCTTAGACAAAAATATCTTAATGTCTAAATTAATACACAGTGAGTCTCGATTTAACGTATATTTTTTTTAGAAAATTTATCCGTTAAATCGAGAGATCCGCTAAATCGAAACTTATAAAAAAAAAACAACAATAACAATAATATTGTATGTATATTGCAAATGTGCAAGAAGAATAATTATCGTGGAAGTTTACAAATGTTATAATTTGAATTAGAAATTTTACTTGATTAAACTATCTGTTTTTTCCGTATATTTTCTTTCAAAATAAAAATGCCTCTTCTTTTTTACAAATTAAAACTATCCTTTTATTATTACATTTCATATAATCAAATTGTCTTTACATACATTTAAGTTGTGTTAAATTATTAATTATCTTTGACTTTTGAAGTTAACTATGCGTAATAGCGATACGCAATAATATTAATAATGTGCTTGAGCTGTCTTTAATGTCTGAGTTTGAAGCAATATAGATCGATCAATATTTGGTAATGACCTTTACATAGCACATAAGACAGGTTTGGTACATATTTTTGTAAGTTTTAATTTCGTTTTCAATTTTTATCACTTTAAATATTCAAAGAATTTTTTTTATTGTTGAATCATGATAAATCGATTGGTGATGAAGAAGTTTAAATAATGTAATTTTTAAAGGCAATCAAATATAAAAACATTGTACGAAAAAATTGCTTGTTACACATTACTCAATTCTCCGCAAAAATCTCCACATTCATTAAAACACCAAGTCGAATTTTATATTTTATATTTTATAATGTCATATACTAAACTATTATTGTCGTTATCACAAGAAAGAAAGGAATTTGTATATAAAACTTATATTGAAATAATTACTAATGCAACCGTTAATTCTGATAGAGAAAGTATGAAAGATTATTTTTTTTCATTAGTCAAGGAAAACAAGGAGCTTTCTGAAAATGAAAAAGAATATTGTAAGGAAAAGTTGATTTATGAGTTTGAATTAATTAATGCAACATATGAATTAGGAAAACCAAAAGAATGTAACAAATGTAAATTGACAAGATACTCTGATAGGTTCTGTGAAGGTTGTATTAGTTTAAAATTACAGAGTCTTTTCACCACTTGGACATCTGGAAATTACATAATTGATAATTTTATTCAACAATGTCAAATCAAATCATCTCTGCCAAATTATATATTGGAATGGATACCTTTTGAGCAATTTGATGATATAACAAAGTTGACAGAAGGCGGATTTAGTTCAATTTTTACTGCAAAATGGACAAGAGGATGTATTGTTGGTTATGACGAAAATAAAAAGGAATTTAGTTATTTTGGAAGGCAACTAGTAGTATTAAAAAGTTTAAACAATTCAAGTAATCCAGGAAAAGGTTTTTTTGATGAGGTTAGTAGTTGTCATTAAAACAATACTATATTATATATAATACTAATTGATCTTATATTTAATTACAGGCAATGAATTATTGTAAAATTAAATCACTAATGATTAATCCTTGCCATGGTATAATTAAATTCCCAGACAATGGAAATTATGCAATAGTTTTAGATTATGCACCAGAAGGAAATTTAAGATGTTACTTGCAAGAAAATCATTTAAATTTAACATTAAAAGACAGAATTGCAATCTTTAGATATTTATGTAATGCATTATATCATATACATGAAAAAGATTTAATCCATTGTGATTTACATAGTGGTAATATACTTGTGGCAGAAGGAGGTAATTGTTATATTACAGATTTGGGATTATGTGGACCAGTTGATGAAAAGTCATCAAATAAAGTCTATGGGAATTGTATCATATGTTGCACCTGAACTACTTAGAGGCAGAAATAATGAAAAGAACACCAAAGAAACTGATATCTATAGTGTTGGGATGTTAATGTGGGAAATATTTGCAGGACATCCACCATTTAATGATAGAGCTCACAATCATCGTTTGATTTTTGATATATGTGAAGGTTTACGACCACCAATATTACCTGGAATGCCTGATGATTATGCAGAAATGATGCAGAGGTGTTGGAACGTGGATCCATCAAAAAGACCAACTAGTGGAGAGCTTCAGAAATTTGCTATAGTTAAACATGACGAAATTATTAAGAATAATAATGATAATAGTAATAATAATAATACTAGTAGTGGTAATGGTGCTTCGCAACAAGTACACAAATCACATCCAGATGCATATAATATAAGTAGAATATTAGATGAAGAGATTGCTAAATTTAAAAGCTTGAAAATTTATACAAGTAATAGTTCATTAAATAATCTTGATTGTAACTCTTTTTTCTGAATGTTAACAAAGGTAAATAAAATTTCATTATTAATTAATTGGAAATTACTATCCATTACTAACAATATTAATTAATTAATTAATTAACATTAGGTTCTAGTAACAATAGTAATTTAATTTCCACTATAAATTTATTATCTTATTTTATTTATCTTTTTATTTCATCCTTATTTTATTTCTTATCTTGTAACAATATTTTGAAATAAACTTTTACAATTTTTTGATTCTTGTCAAATGGTGATATTACGAGGTATTATTTCAGTTAATTAACAATTATGAGTTAACTTTTGGGCTACTCTTGTCAATTAATTAGTTTACGAGTTCCCCCTAGACGAATTTATAAGTGCACTTAATAACACCAGATAACTATAAATAAACAAATATGGCCTTTTTCAATACTATAAAGTTACTTTTATTTATTCACTTGTGATAGATTTGTTTTAGTTGTTTACCCTTGTTTACATTTATTGGCCGATTTCAAACTCATCTTGGTTTACTTGCAAAACAACTTAAGTAGCTTGTTTAACAGCCTTACATTTGCAATTACAATAACATTTTTATCATCATTGTCAACTCATAAATTCATCAATGCAACATTGTTTTGCTTCTTGGGTGCTTCTATAAGAAATTTTCTCTTTTTAACTTCAATATATTTATATATTTTTAATTATTTGAGGATCAACTTCTAAATATTTTTGTTGTATATATTTAAGCGCATTTTCAACCATTTATAGCTTCTGTATTTGTTACAATTGGCTCACTTATCTTATCAACACCCTCGTTATCTTCAACTTCAGGTTTCCCCAACACTATGTTTTACAATTTCTTGTTCCGTCATTTCATAATAAATTCGTCAGCATTTAAAGAAATAAAAAAAGTGACATTATACAAAAGCGTCATTGCCAAGAAATAGTTAACAATATGTTTGATTAAAATGTTGTTGATATTTAATATTAATATTAATATTAATATTAATGATGGAAGTTTGATTTCATTGGCTAAATTTTGTGATGATCTCCCTTTGAGACATCACGCAAAAATTAAATTTTATTGGCTCGATAATCATTGCTGAAACTAGATTTTTCAGGCAACTCTGAATTTAAATATTATTATGCTAAAATTAGACTTTTCGGGTAAACATTACAAATTTAAATCTTTGGATGAATGCTAAAATAGAAGATAACTTATTCATTGCTATTGTATTAGTAAAAAAAAAAATATAAAAAAAGACAAAACTTTGTAAATTTTCAAAATAAAAATCCAAACTACAAAATAAAAAGTCAAACATACTTTATTTAATTAAATCATATATAATAATGCCTAAAAATACTCAAAATAAAGGTCCTTGTGTAATCATTGATTGTAAAAGTACTGTTGATGCTGATAAATTTAGAAGAATTACTGATATTGCATTGAAAAAATTACATGAACATCCAAATTGGGAAGATTTT